CACAGGTACGCAGACCCTCTGTCACGGCTGGGCCCACCCGTCACTGACCTTGCAGGTGGCTCGGGCTTCATTGCCTCGCATGTCCTAGATATCCTCTTGGACCATGGATACGCCGTCATGATAACGGTCCGCACAGCCGGCAAGGGAAAAGCGGTGCTGGCGTCACTTCCCGACGCACGAAGGCACCTTGTGTCGTTTTCTCTCGTTGACGACGTTGCCAAGGAGGGTGCCTTCGACAACGTCCTCCAAAGCAGCCTGTTCGACTTTGTCATCCACACTGCCTCGCCGTACCAGCTGCGCGTCGAAGATCCCGTGCGGGACCTCTTGGACCCAGCCCTGCGCGGAACGACCGGTCTCCTGCGGTCCGTCCAGACGCTGGCGCCGTCGGTGCGTCGCGTGGTGCTGACTTCGTCGTCGGCCGCGATGCTCAACCCTGCGCACCATGCTGCTGTGTATGACGAGTCCTGCTGGCGACCAATGACATGGGCGGAAGCACAGCTTCCGCACAATGCGTACGAGGCAAGCAAAGTGTTTGCCGAGCGGGCAGCATGGGCGCTGGTCAATGGAAGCGACGACGTGGAGACGGCGACGGAGACCAAAACGACCGGCGGCGGCGGCAGCCGGGCGACGTCGTTTGATCTTGCCGTGATCAACTGCACATACACATTTGGGCCGGTGCAGCGATGGCTCGCCAGCTGGGACGCCGTCAATGCGTCCAACCAGCGGATCCGGGATTGTGTGCTGGGGCAGTGGAAGACGGCCCACGGGAACGGAGCTGCCCAGGTGCCGCCCACGCGCCCCGTCTTCACGTGGGTGGACGTCCGCGATGTGGCGCTGGCGCATGTGCGCGCAATACAAGTCCCCAGCGCCGGTGGACAGCGCTTCTATGTCGTTGGTGGGCACTTTAGCAATGGGCAGCTGGCGAACATTGTGCGAGAAGGCTGGATGCAGGGGGGCGGCGAGAAGGCCGCCATGGCTGCCGCTCGTCTCCCATCCGCAGAGGAGACGCCTGATGACCTGCCGGCGGATGTCTACCAGTTTGACAATCGGCGGTCGCGGGACGTGTTGGGGTTGCGGGAGTGCCGCAGTCTGACCGAGAGTGTGCTCGGCACGGCAGACTCGTTGCTGGCGTTGGGTGCGAGATGTGGTGACGGAAAATGACTGTCTGGCGATGTTGTGGCGCGGGCGAGCGTTGTGGCGAGAGGAAAAGGGGTTGCAGACGGATGTTTTGCTTTTGAAAAATAATTCGAAAAAAAAAAAAAAAAATTATCACGGGGACAAGCACGAAACAATTTGACAAACGGGGAAGGAATGGTGATGGAACAGGCGGGGGAGGTGCGACTAGTGTTTTGCGGGCCCCGAGGATTGGCGTCCCGATTGCGGCTCGACAATGTCGTCGTCCACAGATCAGGCGGCCTTTCGGCTACCCACCGTCACGGGTCTAGAATCGGTAGAGCGCCACTGCCCTTTAGAAGGGTGTAACTGGAGTATGGCTGTCTATGGCGGGCGCCCACCGCCCACCGCAACCCTAGCAGCGGTTGAAGGATGCATTGAGAGTTACTGGAACAGTTTACGTTGACGCAGGCTTTCTTAGCATCCTGCGATGCACATTGTCCTTGTATGAATCAACTCTCCTTTAATTACAGCTCCGGGGTTACGGCGAGGCCGCGAAGACTTCGACTTTATTTGTTCGTTCCGCCCCAGAGCGACCAGCTGTTGTTTTCCTGAAGACGAAGTGCTGAGAAACGGAACAAACGCGCCTATCTTTGACATATCGTCTATTCTTGCTGCATCGATTAACTTTGATATTTATTCCCTTCCCTAGTTCCTGCTTCCCGTGGGATCAATGGATGCAAAGGCATACCGGATTGTCGGAGGAGCGCCGCTGGTCCGGCCGACTTACACAGAGACAGGGCCACTCTGACGCTGCCATAATTCCGTGATGTCCGGGCGTAGACGTGTATAATAGCAGGACTGCCGTTCCGGAGTGGTCGTTTGAATTTAGTAGATGGGATGTACGAACGAGATCCGCTTTGCCTTCAGATCGGACGACCAGATCACCATTGCCGCCATGGGCAGCTGCCCTGCATGAACGCCTGTCTCGAGGAGGGACTGCACATGTTCCCGCCGGAGCCCATTGTCTTCTTGCGCAGCGTGATTCGTGAGTCGTGATTCGTGGCGAGTCTATCAAAAGGTAGTCGACGAGGTGGACGGTAACTACGATGACGAGAAGGAGAAGGCGGAAAGCAAAAAAGAGTGGTGTGTGAGCAAAAGGAGAGACAATGAAAGCTGTAGTTGGCTGTATTCACGACAGTTGAATGAGTCGATTCGGCTCAAGCTGCATTATGGTACAAGCAAGCTCTGAGCGAGCTCTGTTATAAAAAATCTTGGCTTCAAGCAACGATTCGTGAGATGTCGACATCGAATACACAAACGTGCAATCCGGGAAATGGAAACCACGAATACGCCATGTATGCCATGAGCATGTATGCTCATATACGTTTTTCTCCCGTGGCTGTTGTTGCAGCCGCAAACAGGGGTGTGAAACAAAGTTTGTGCCAAGCTTTGGGATCCAGATGGGCCGACGAGACGGGGCAAAAAAAAGAAGGAAAAAAGGGGGGGAAAGGGCCATCACAAAAGACAACAAAAGCAGGAAGACGGAATATGGCAATAAAGCAAATCTCCAAACAAATCTCTTGGCAAGACCGTTTCAAAGTGCCCGGTTGGCACTTCCTGTTCTTGAAAAGTGCTCTGCGTGGACAGACGAAATCCCTCGACCGTCGTCCGGCCACACATCCACGGGAAGCCAATGTCAATCTTGGCTTCTTGGTTCGTACAAGTCTTGGCCGACTTTATTTTATGGGTTTCAACGAACGCCTATCGGGGAAGAACCTTGGATTGTTACAGTACTGCAAGTTTGCAAGGCTCTGGAACGGCGCATGTCTGCAATCGTCTTGTTTTATCTGTGACAGTGTTGACTAGGATGCATTTGAGTTGGATCAAGTTCAGTCGAGAAGTAATGGCAAAGAGAAACTATGCTTAATACGCCTTAAAATCCCAAATAACGGAAAACGTGAACCAAAGTCAAAGCGTCGGTACCTGTCCCGGCCTTTGTTTGAGTTGTCCTTAGCCCTGGCCTTGCATGCCCTGCTGCTGCTGCAGATCAAACACAAGAGACCGGCAGCCAGAGAGGCATCCTTGTTATACACATATGACTGCGCAACCGGCCTTCAATATCGCGTATTATTGTAGTTTTTTTCTACAACACGATCCATCCCATACGCACACCGTAACGTCGTCTGTAACAAGAAATCTCAAAACCAGCGATCTACGGGCGGTGCAAAAGGGAGGGTAAGAGGCATGAATAGACGAACGTGCTGGCTGGTAAATCCACAGAGTCTACTGTGTTCAAGCAAGAGCAAAGCAGACGTGCAGGTAGCCATCTCTCACATCGCCGCCAAGGTTATTTGAACAGCGGCTCACCACGTTCCATGTTGCCCTTCTGATCTTATCTTTCCCCTTCGTTCTCTTCTCTTGTCTTGGCTTCGTATTGATTCATCGTCATTCATAGTTCCATTTTACGTGCAGTTTTGTTCTCTTCTTCGAGGTGAGTTCGCCAAGGGCAATCGATAGATATCATGACGGTTATCACTGACGAACAAATGTTCTAGCTGTGCTCGATTACTTCGTTTCTTCTCGCCGGTCGACCATCGTTTGCATCTTGTCTTTACGTTCTTTTTTATTCACTTTTTTTTAACTTTGGACCATCTTTCACTGCCATCGCCACCATGAAGTACATCAACACCCTCGTTGTTCTCCTCAGCGCCAGTGCCTCGCTCGTGGCCGCTGCTCCCAAGGGCAACAAGAACGACAACAACAACAATGGAGCCAGTGCTGCCCAGAACGCCGCTGCTCAGGAGAGCGTCAATGCTGCGGCCAACAACGGCTCTGGCGGCATCAAGGCTGCCGACGCGGCAGCCGAGGCTGCTGCCCTCGTAGCTGCTGGTGATCGTATGTCTTCGCCTGCAACTGTAACAATGCATTGATTCTTGTCTTGACGCTGTAGCTCTCGCTAACAAAAACAAGTCGGAGCCGCCACGACCGGCGCCATCTTCTCCTCGATCGACGCCCAGTTCAAGGCCTCGGAAGCCGCTGCCACGGCCACTGCTGCTGCTGCTGCGGTCAACACTGGTGCTGCCAACGCGCAGGCCACAGCCGCAGCCGCAGCCGGTGCCAACGCAAATGCCGCCAAGGGCAAAGGAAAGGGCAAGGGCAAGGCCAAGGGCAAGGGCAAAGCGGCCAAGGCCAATGCTGCCAAGAGAAACGCCGCCAAGGGCATCGCCGCCCAGACCGCCGCCAATGCCCAGGCCAGCGTCAACGCCGCCGCCAACAACGGCGCTGGTGGTATCAAGGCCGCCGACGCGGCCGCCGAGGCTGCTGCCCTGGTGGCAGCTGGTGATCGTACGTATTCCTCCATTTATGGCACTATGAAAAAAAGAAAAAGGAGGGTCGGCTAACAAAATGAATCAAAACAGTTGGTGCTGTGACGACGGGTGCCATTTTTTCGTCGATTGACGCCCAGTTTAAGGCGTCCGAGGCGGCGGCCACGGCCACGGCCGCTGGTGCCGCCAACAACGCTGCCGGCAACGGTCAGGCACAGGCCACGGCTGCCGCAGCTAACAAGGGCAAGGGCAAGGGCAAGGCCAACGGCAAGGGCAAGAACAACTAAAAAAGTACTGATTCTACCATACTTGTCCAGCAGGTTTATCTTAGTTCATTCCTCCTTTACTTCTTTTCCTCTTTACTTTGGTTAGAATACTGAAATTTGATTTACTGTTCTTCCGTCTATTGTACATATCCTCAGCTGTGTTTCCATGATATAAAAATAAACAATAAATCCCAAATCATTTGGAAATTTCTAGCTGAAACTAACACTAACATGGATATCTATGAATCTATGGCCCGGGGGACGGATGGCCTCTGTCAGTGTCAAACTTATGATGCCGACGGCAAAGGTGTCTGCGAATGTGGCGGCGGTGGTAAACGAGTCAGGCGTCTTAGGTGGTCCGTTTTCCACTTGCTTGTTCTATTGCTCTCGGCCGTGTCTAGACGGTCGCCACGTACCGCACGAACATAGTGGCGGTCCTCCTGATAAAGAGGATCGGGCAGCATGTTCCCATCGCCGTCAACAACTTCGGCTTCAGGGAATGGAATGACGTTCGCTCGAGAGATGCGTCCATAAGTGAAATCGGGAACGCCCCCAGTCAGAATGTTGTGCAAATTCCGGAGAGCCTCGTCCGTGAACTGGTCCTGGTCGCGGCTTTGGAGGCTATCGACCTTGTACGGCTCGTCTGGTGGCTGGTCCAGCTCGTTTAGTTTGCGCTTTGCAATCGTCCGGAGTTCTGCTAGCTCAATCCGGTCCGCTGGCCGATGCCTCATCATCATGCAGACACAGTCAATCAGATCTTCATCAAGAACGCCCTTGGTTTTCGAGTTTGGATGCTGAGCGGTGCCATTGTAAGCCAACAACGTGGCGTACGTCCACATCCACCCATATTTTAGGGTTTTGTCGTAAGGCATGATATCAATTCCCACCTCGGGTTTCAGCCGTTGGGCTTCAAGCTTATCGGAACGAGGGACTAAGGCAAAGGCCGCTGCTCTGTCGTTGGCCGTCGAATCTGGGACCAGGGCGTTTCTTAAAGCCAAGTACACGTTGTGGACGGCTTTTGCGGTGTTGTCGTGATCGATATCTTGTAGGGGTGAATGCGGGCGTGTCCTTCTTTTAACGCAGTACAAAACTGGAACAGGCGGATGCAATGGCGGTTCTAGAGAGATAAGGCTGACCATGGCCTAAATTATGGTAAGACCAATGTTCAATCTTTCGATGCGAAGATGTACCGTAAGACACTTACCTGGCCCATCTGATAGACATTCATGCCACTACCGTAGTTACCGGCCGTCCAATTCCCTTCGTCGCCGGTTGTATGGACACCGTCGGGGTAGTAGTCCCATTCATCGGAAAATTGTTCCTGTAAAACGTGCTTCTGGTCAGGTATTTGATGCACATATATCTGTGCAGAGGAGAGTAATAATCCCATGTCCGACATACAGGTCCTAGGTAAGACCGCTTTCCTGCGCGGCGCATTTTTTGCATCTCGTCGTTTGACCTATGTGATGTGCGAAGAGCAGTCAATAACGGCCGCAATAACAATGGCATTGGCAGCGCTTATACGGAAAGTAAACAAAGGTCTCGGCGACAACCTACGTAGATTTGATTTCCCTTACAGTACGGGCTAAACCCATGTCAGAAACCTAGAAAAGAGGAATGGCTGGTCAGTGTATAGCCCACAAGAAGGTCCAAACAATGTCTCCTACAGTGTAGCAGAACACACCTTGAATATCGGGAAATTTTTGTGCTTGTCGTCATTCCCGCCCAAAAGAACTTGTATAGAGTTAATAGGCTGCTTCAATTTCCGGTGGTCCGTACATGCACGGACGCGGCATGGCCAACGCAGCGAAACGGGGTGGCGACGTACTGTTATTCGGGTCGATATCAAAATGAACAACGGCATCGCTGTCATCGAGATCCCGCGGTATCCTTTCGGTGTCTATTTTGTGGGCCAGCGCGTTGTCGTAAGTAGGGGCTGTACTCGGAATAGCATCAGGCCGAATAATGTTCCGGGGGTACTTTAACGCAATAAGTTGATGGGCCACTATTCGTAGTTAGTTAAAATACGTCCGAAGAAGGGGTACGACGATACAAAAAATCATTGTAAGAACGCACGGCAGCTCAGTATCCGCCATTGACCACGTGCTGGAAGTATCATCCCCGTCGTGCGTATGCGTGAAATGTAGTCGTCCAGACTTCCATGGTTCATGAACTCGGTAAACATGATGTCATCGGCTGTGTCCAGGCGGTCGAGTTTAAAATGCACGATACGCCGCTGTGTCTTCTTGTATAGATTCCTCTGTACAAGATCGGCTGAGATCTTGTGTGTATGGTAAATTTGGACAACATGCCGACATCCTTGAAATCGCTGTACATAGGTTAACCTTGTTGCCTGTCCATGTCGTGGCCGGAATGGACATACGTACCTTCAAATGCTCCTTCTCTTCGGAGAGGCTCGTTTCATCGTCCAGCACGGCCTTGACCACAAATTGAATCGGCTTTTGGACCCGCGACGCCCGTCTTCTGACTTGATAAAGTGCCGTGACACCGAATCCACCTTGTCCAAGGACCTTCTGGAAACGCAGCCCGGTTTCGTTTAGAAGTCTTGAGATGCCATTCATCTTCTTTTTCATGTCTAGAGTTGGAAGTTCTGGTGGCAGCACGGCCCTTCTGTTGTGAATGCCCATCCGTAGAAATGGTACCCGACTTTGTGCTTTTTGCCTCCGGTCGCCAGGAGGGTAAAAGTCTCCGTCCACATTATAGTGTGCTCGAGGCCAAATAAGAACCGATGGCTCCTCCGACACATACTGTCGATTTTTTTGGCATTTGTTCCACCGGCTCTCCGTCAAGCCGTTGCTGAGTCCAGGCCACACTCCGGGCTTGGGAACTTTACACAGGGCGATGGCAGCAACGTGATCAGCAGAACGAAAATTGGCGAAAGAACCCTCTGCGTAGTATTTCCTGAAATACACTGCCAAGCTTCGACGCCTCTTTTCAGCACTGGTGAGATTGTTGTACTTTTGTCGCAAATGGTTTGCGATAAACCTGGCCAATAGTTGTGATCCTTGCTGCCCCGGTCCTTGCTGCTGTGCTTGCGGGCCCTGTTGCTGTGCTTGCGGTCCTTGTTGCTGTGGTTGTGCACCTTGCGGAAGTAGGGACATTTGCGCGATCACCGGCGGTCCTTGATTTCCGGGCGCTGCTGGTGCGGAAAGTCCGAATCCAGCTGGGGATGACCGCCACCTCCGTACGGAATCATTGTCCGCGACAACTGCAAGACCCGCTCCGCCACCGGGAGGAGCTTGCTGAGGAGCCACCGCGGGCTGTGCTACCACCGCGGGCTGTGCTACCACTGGTACCGGAACATGTACCGGACCTGGTACTGCCGCCGCCGCATTCTCCAAGAGCAATACAAAACTCGCCACGGCATGTTCAGCTTTCGATAAGACGGCTTGGTCTTGCGCGGGCAGCTTTTTCTGAAAATTTTCCATCTTCCGCTGTCGTGCGCCCTTGCCCTTTCTGTGTGGTGCGGTAGAAGCGCTGTGGAACTCGGATTTCAAAAGATTCAGGTTATCGAGTACGCCGACGGTGGTGTTGTCAGGGAAGTTCTCTTTCTTCCATATATTTTGTGTGTCCAGAATGTTGATGAGATCCACAAATAGAGTCATGAGCTCGGCAAGAGGTGGCGGTGGTACGCATTTCAGGCGATTTTTGTTACTCTTCTTCCACTGAATCACATACTGAGCGGCAGGCAGTAATTTTTGGTGTGGAGGCGGTACCGGTGCCGGTGGTGGTGCGGGTGCGGGTGCCGGTACTACTCCCCCGGGCGGACGCAGTACTTGAACTTGCTGTGGCTGGCCTTGTTGTACTTGGTGAGCTCCGCCAGGTGCTGGTCCGCCTGGCCCTCCTGGCCCTCCTTGTGGTCCTTGGGCAGGCGCCGGAGGTCCTGCACCAGGTGCACCCAGTATCAGTGCCGGTGCTCCTGCGGCATATGGCTGTGGCTGCGGCTGCGGCTGGACTTGGGGTGGCTGTTGTGCCGCTGCTGCCGCTGCCGCTACTGCCGCTGCGGCGGCGGCGGCGGCAGCGGCGGCGGCTTGACGTCTGGTCTGCACCATGTTTATCGTCCGGTGCTAAGCGTGCTGCGGCAGGCTAAGAGGCTATTGCAGTCTTGGTGCTTGTTGATAATGCTTAGTAGTTGGTATTCTATGAATTTAACGAGAAGCGTCGAGACAGCTGGTTTGGTATACACTAGGTGTGCGTGAAGGGAAGATGAGTCGACCGTGCAAAGATGAGTTTAAATGTGAGCAGTTTCGCAAAATTGTTGAAGCTCGAAGAGGTGCTGCGGTCGACTCTCACATCATTTATGAGAAAGGAAAGTCACGAAAGGTTAACAAGGGAGAGATGTTGTGGCAACAAACGTTTCCGGGGAAGGTGCGATCGCACGAACTGAGCTGCAAAAGGCAAGCGCGAAGAAAGCAAAAATACGCCTCATAATCCAATCCCTTTCCGGCCGTTTGTCCCAAATGGGAGTGGCAATTGGTTCTTTCAACGTCTATCCATCTTGGATAATTGTATTCTGCATGCGTTTGGGACAGTGTCGGTTGGTGCAGTCGACAAGTTTGTCGATGTGATCATATTTCAACCAGGGACTGCAACGGTGGTCATCGCTTTTGCGACACGTAGAATAGTGTTCATGTCTTATGCCCTTCTCGTTTTTATTTTATTTAAATGTTTGTTTCTGAATTAAGGGAGAAATAAATAAATATGCCTCTCAAGAGCATTAAAAAAGCGAGTGCTTTTACTGCGAGGACTGAAGACCCCAACATGTGCGGTAGGATGAAGCCCAAAATGCATCCGGATCGGGCTAAGCCATGCAGTTGCGTTTCCAGAAACCTGTCTCTGCAACGTTTTTGGACAGTTTTATTCTACGAGCTGTGTTGGTACGGCAATTTTCTTTGTCTTGTTTACACTCAATGCCCACCCAACATCTGCAGGGTGTAAACGAAACTAATTGGGACGCACTATATACTATGGGAAAGAGAACAAACAAAAGCTTCTTGGTCATGTTGCCGTGAGCACTCTGTTCTGTCCCATTTCTGCAGGCATACGACTTGTTTTCCTAAACAACAGTTACTTCTACATGCACGTAGTTTAATTTTGTCAATTAATCTCGATCCCAAGTATCTCAACGTCAACCTGTCCCTTGGAAGCGTTAAAATCAGAAAGGTCCGCATAGACAGACATTGTCAGGGCGGCATATGATGGCATTTAGCCTGTGTTTTGCTGTTGCAGGGTAATGCCCCTGTGTTTGTTGCGTCGTGAATGACTTACACGACCCAAAAAATCACAATCCTTAGGATCTGGCAAACGGAATAGACAACGCTCTGAACTCAACAATTACCCACAAACTTTTCACAGTCAGAATCTCAAGATACTGTTTGGCAATAGCAAACCTCGTCGGTGTTTCAAAGTTCCGACATGATCGTAGCTGAGACTGACGGTGTGCTTCTAATTGGCAGCCATTGCTGGATCCCGGCACCGGGGCCTGTTCGGCAACATACTGTGTCGATTTCAACAAGATAAAGGACGGGAGGATCGTTAGAAGAACCGCCCAGAAACGCGGCACAATCTTGTCTTGCTGTGTGGACGATGTCACGCAGACAAAGCTGGGGGCGGCAGGGACGAGTGAGCCGGAGAATTAAAAAAAAAGATACCGCATCGCCTGCTCATCGGACGGGATGATGTGCAGCAAACAATTTTCATTGAATGGTCGGAGGAAGCGTGAGGATATCGTGCAAAGACGGACGTGGCGGGCTTGACCCAGCATCGTCGGTCGCGGCACAGCTACAATTTATTTTGCAGGCTACCGCTCGTAAAGACTGAAAGGTATTGGTGCCAACTCCAGATGCAGATGTGCGAATGACTAAAGCGGCTGGTGATGCAACACAGTTATTCTGTTCAGCGCACTGTCCCAGAGCTGCTACAGGTATCGCAGAGGGTGGCCACGTACCGCCAAAGTCCTTTATGTCCGTGGCGGCTGGTGCCTAAAAACGCACGCACTTCGACGACAGCCTAACCCAGAAACGGGGGATCGAAGTGAAGTTGATGTATTCTAGTCGTCTTCTTTGGTGCCTCCGTGTTTCTTCGGCTAAAGCAATAGGATCATATTTGGTATGACGTTCCAAAGAGGCTCTTCTTTGGCAATCTTAAGAATAGAGATGAGACAGGACGTTCCGAGAGCCGCATTGCGGGAATGGAGTGTGGCGTATGGTCATGCTTTGTAAGGTTTTTGCCATATCGCAGACCAGCTGCGGACGAAATGAAACGGAGAGACGATTTTACAGTGCTCACACCGTTAGTTTTCTCCCGTCATGATCGTCCCTGGCCAGGCTTCCAGTGTTTCCAGACCATTCGCCCTCTCCACAACGACGCTTGGGCTCCCGCCTTCGCCATCACCTTGAGCCTTCCAACGATGAATAGGACATGTGGTTGGGCAGCCTTTGGTCGAAGTTTCTGAGGAGACGTCTCGTAGCCCATTGCTTATTTCTGCACTCTGCTCTCGTCCCGTGTCTTGTCGACGACGCCGGTGCGTATGTTTTCCTTTATGTCGGCAATTGTATCTTACCAGCGGTCGAGCGACGGCTTACTATGCGGCACAGGCGGATCATTTTGTCAATGAAATGTTTCTTGTTCGCAGGGGGGTAGTCAGCGATACGAAATTAAATCTCTGATTATCATTGTTGTGTGATAAAAGGGAAGGAGAAAGGAGTTGAGGTGACGTCTAAAGGACGTTCTTGCCATTCCAGATAACTCTCATGACGTTCGCGACATGAGTACAAAACAGGAAAGAGACGTTGCCCTCCACATGGTCGTTAAACTCGTATTACAATATTCGCTGCCTTCCCGTCTAGCTGTGTTCCTGTTAGTCCAGCCCATCCTTGATCGCCCCTTCCCTGCCTGTCGGGAAACGGTAATAGTCGGACCCCGACGTTGGGGGCAGAGGGTTATTTCAACTGTCCGTGGTCGCACACCTGCCGTATCGGTATGAGGTAGTAGAAACGGTATGCCGTAATCCGTTCCATGCTCCTGCCAGCCTGGTCAACCAAATGTCTTTGGGTCGTACCTACTTCGACTGTGTCGTTTCGGCATCGCGTTTTGCTTGCCACCTGTCGAGTTTTCGCGTATGACTCTCCGCCATCTCAACTTATTTTAACACAATGGCATTTAAATGTATCCTCTCACGCACACCACGCATCACCCCTTCGTACGCGCGCACTCTTGTTGACGGAGTCCACATTTTCCTTGCGAGACGACAATGCTTCTCGGCAGAACTGCATGTGTCGTAGCTTGCTCCGATCATCCACGGTCCGATCACACCCACCGCTCATTGAGCCGCGCAAAACATCCTGAGAACAAAGCACACACCCACGGATTTTAAACATACCCGAACCAGACAGACAAGGGACGACGCCGAAGAAACAGGGCTCGGTAGACATCCGCAGGACCTTGGGAGAAGGCAAAACTAGCTGAATCCAAGGGTGCATGCAGTATTTATCGTCGGCTCGGCAGCGCCATTTCGCATCAACACATCTCTCAGATCTCCAGCCTGCACCGTCACCTGTCTTATCCCCAGTTCGTCTACCCATACTTTGCATCTGGACCTCGACTTGTATTTTATGGTATCGGCCGTTTGAGTCCCGTCGGCCGTCGATCTTAACCTTACCCCGAGCCCGTCCCATATTGCACCCTTCAATCGTTTCGAGAGCTTTCGCATCTCGCTTTTGAGACAGTTGAGACAGATGTGCCTTTCTCTAGATTTGCAGTCTCCTCCTAACCTCTGATATACGTTGCAACCACTTCATATAGATCGTGTCACCCGTCCAACCCCGATTTCTCTACATTGTACTCCCTCTACCCCCTCTCTATTCTGTTTTCTTATTTGTTGTTTCTTCCAATCGTTGGCAATCTTCCCAATTTATTTGAAGCATCCATTGTTTCTAGAAGGTATCCAATATCAGCGACTTACCAATCCGACAAACTTGGAGCTTGGAGCCTACCGCAATCACAAGGGCAATTCACTGGGCGGACAGGAGGCAAAGGTTTCCCTCCACAACAAGCTCCTCCGTCGGTCATGGTCCGTTGTGCAAACGACGGGAGCTTTGGCCCCGTCTTGACACCTGAGCCGGACTGCTATAGCTTCGACTTCACACTGACGTTTGAGGACTGCATTCTGTCGATTGCACCCTGCTCCATTGCCTTACTATTAGCCATTGTGCGAATCTATTATCTTCTCAAGCGCAATGCCCTTGTCCGCTGGCCGCTCTTGCTGGCCCTCAAGCTGGTAAGCAATTCTCTTTGGCTATTGTGCACTCTCCACATGCTTTTGGGGTGTACCACTAACACGACCAAGCTTCTCTTCGTTGCCTTGCTAGGTGTTCAGCTAGGCATTGCGGTTCTCCTCGGCACCAACAGGGGCTTCCATACACACACCACTCTTGCATCGAGCGTCGTGAGCTTGTGCACAACTGTTGCGCTGACAGTACTCTCCGATCTGGAGCATGTGCGCTCCGTCCGTCCGTCCTACCTTATCCAGAGTTTCCTCTTCATTTCCATCTTTTGCGACTTGCCACGCATCCGCACACAATGGATGCTGCCAGACAACGCCACTGTGGCACCCATCTTTTCGGCCGCATTTGGCCTCAAGGTGCTTCTGATGTTTGTTGAGTCCATACACAAGTACAGCCACTCCACCCTGGCCGACGACAAGATCTCGCCCGAGGAGATACAGGGCGTCTTTGGTGATACATTATTCACGTGGCTGAACCCTCTCTTTTTTGAGGGATACAAGCGCAATCTGACCATGGACGACCTCTATCCGGTTGACAACGGGCTTCGTGGCCAGACTCTATATGACCGTCTGCAAAGCCATTGGCTGAAAGGTAGGGCATTCTGCTGTATCCCCGTACCATTTGCACTCACGTTCCATCGTTAGCCGACATCCACTTACACAACGTAGCAAACTACAAGCGCAAACACTGTTTGACATATGCGACATTCAGAACATTCACACCAGAGCTAGCCATGGCATTTGTTCCCCGCGTCGGCTTGATGGGCCTCAGTCTGTCCCAGCCGTACCTTGTCAGCGCAGCCATCAACTACATCGACAACGCTGATCGGCCAAAGAGCTATGGGTACGGCCTCATCGGTGCCTACGCTGTAACTTACATTGGCATTGCGGTACGTTGTAACCTTTGTCTCTCTTTTCTCTGCATGCAACGCTTTTGGATGCCTTCTAATGCCGACAGTTAACCACTCGTTGGTACATGCACATTGCTTTCCGTACCATGGCCAAGATCCGTGGCGCCCTGGTAACAATCATCTACAAAAACATGTTGGCCATCCGTGCCGAGACTGGCAACTCGTCAGCGGCGCTATCCCTTATGAGTACTGATGTCGATCGCATCACGTTCACGACTTTCAATATCGTCGACTTGGCCCCGAGTGTGGTACAACTCGGCATCGCCCTAGGCATTCTCGGAACCGAACTAGGCGGTAGCAGCGTTGCCCCCATTATTCTCTGTCTCATTTGCGGAATCATCGCCGCACGACTGGGCAAAATGATCCCTCCGCGTCAGCGACGCTGGATGGCGGCCATTCAGAAGCGGGTCGGCATCACGTCTGATATTGTCGGTTCCATGAAGGGCGTCAAGGTCGCCGGTCTCAACGAAAAGGCCGAGCAGCAAATCCAAGGCCTCCGCGATTACGAGATAGACCAGTCCACTGCTATGCGTAAGATCCAAGTGTGGAATCTCCTTCTCGGTATCGCCCCGTCGCTGCTTATGTCGGCCGTGACGTTTGCCGTCTATGCCATCGTGCAGAAGGTGTCTGGCGACAGTCAGTTTGGCGTCGCCCGGGCCTTTACCGCGCTAAGCGTCTTAAATGTGCTCATTGCGCCGGTCATGACCATCACATCGTCGTGGACGAACTTGGCCACGGCTCTCGCCTGTCTTGATCGCATCCAGGCCTTTTTGATGCAAGAGAAGCGCGAGGACTACCGCATCCTGCTGCCACGGTCAGACTCCGGCTCCTTTACGACGCACGATTCGGCCATGCTAGGTGCAGACAATGCGTCAGAGAAGTCGGCTAGCAAGGACAAGCAGCCATTGATCAAGGTTCGAGAGGGCACTTTTGGCTGGAAAGCCGATGCGCCGCCGGTACTCAAAGACGTCGACATCGACATTATGCCGGGCGAATTGACACTCGTTATCGGCCCCGTGGCTTCCGGCAAGTCGACACTCCTCAAGGCGCTCATTGGTGAATGCCGAAAATTCAAAGGCGCCGTCGAGTTCACCATTCCGGAAGAGGTAGCGTATTGCGACCAGGACGCCTGGCTGCTCAACCGGTCCATAAAAGAAAATGTGCTCGCATACGAGCCGTACAACGAAGAGTTCTATGAGCAGGTCATCCATGCTTGCCAGTTGGTCGAGGATATTGAGCAGTTCCCAAAGCGCGATGACACCACCATTGGCAGTAAAGGTGTCTCTCTGAGTGGTGGTCAAAAACAGCGGGTGGTACGTACAATGCAACTGTACATGTTGTCCCTACATCTGGTTGCAGTTTGCTAATTTTACCAGGCTCTTGCTCGTGCTGTTTACAACCGGAAGCCCATTGTCATTCTCGACGACATCTTGAAAGGACTTGATGCTGACACATATTCGAAATGCTTCACGGCCACGCTTGGGCCGGAAGGACTCCTGAGGAAGAACCGAACATCCGTTGTCCTTGCCACGCACAATAGTAGGCCGTCCATTCACCCCGTCCGTGTCCTTGCGTGCTGATGTGCTAACCATCAAGCCCAACTCCTACCCCATGCCGACCAGATTATTGTCCTGGACGAAGGCGGCCGCGTCACGGAGCGGGGCAGTTTCGATCACCTCAACTCAAGTGACGGCTTTGTTGCTGCCCTGGGTCTCAAGAAATCTGCTATGGACGCCGCCGCGATCCGCGATGCCCTGGACGTTGAGATAGAACTCAAAGAAAAGGAAGCCATTATTGAACGCATCGCCTCGGCCAAGGCTATGGGCCGCAAGCCGCCCGGTGCGGGCGGTCCTCCGGATGCTGTCCCGTCCGACAACGCGTCACGTGGCAAGCGGAATGCCGATGCCATGTTCTCGTATCTCAGGTCTCTGGGTGGCACGGCGTTTGCCCTGTACGCCATCTTTACTCTCTGCGACATTGGCTTCCGGACAGCGCAGCGTGAGTCTCGCAATTGAGGTGCTGCTTGTATTCGAATGACTGCAGACACTAACCTCGCTTCTCCTTCTAGCGGTCTGGCTCAATGTTTGGACGGCCGCAAATGAAGAGCACCCTGACAGTCGTGTAGGCTACTACGTCGGCATCTACGTCCTCTTTGGCGTATTGAACGTTTTATTTATGGTCGCTGAATTTTGGACGTTTCTGATTATCATTGTGCCGCATTCAGCCAAAGTCCTCCACAGGAAGATTCTCGTCGCCGCTATGCAGTAAGTTGCTGGTGTCTCTGTGGTCTATTGAGGCAACTCGTACTGACTTTCTTCAGCGCGCCGTTAGCATACTTTGTTGCTACCGACGCTGGTGAAATCGTAAACCGGTAGGTTCTCTCGGCAGCTAGCTCAGTTTCCATAAAGATACGGACTGACACCCCCACAGATTCAGCCAGGATATGACGCTCGTGGATATGCAGCTTCCTTTTTCATTTATGATGTGCTACGGCCGTACGTATCTCCATTGCGCGAATGTCTTTTCGCAAAACACACTAACCGCTCCACAGAACTCATCAGTGCCGTCTCTCAAATCATCCTGACATGCGTAGCATCGGGCTACCTCGGTATTATTGTTCCCGTCCTTCTCGTTGTCCTGTACTGTGTACAGAAGTTCTACCTTCGAACATCTCGCCAAATGCGTCTCCTGGATCTCGAAGCCAAATCGCCGCTCTACTCGGACTTCATCGCGTCTTTCTCGGGCTTAACAGCACTGCGTGCTTATGGCTGGACAAAGGATGCCGAGAACGAGAGCCTGCGCCGGTTAAACGAATCACAAAAGCCGTACTACCTCCTGTATTGCATTCAGCGATGGCTCTCACTCGTTCTCAATCTTATTGTTGCCGCCATGGCGGTCATCGTCATTGGCCTGGCCGTCGGTCTCCGCAGCCAAATTAGCCCTGGTCTGCTAGGTGTGGCCCTGACCAGCGTAATGGGCATCGGCATGACACTCAGCATGCTCATCCAGATGTGGACGCAGCTAGAGACGAGTCTGGGCGCCATTACCCGCGTCAACGAGTTTGCCAACGATACACCGCGCGAAGACGACGGGCCGGACATGCCGCCGCCGCAGTGGCCCTCACGAGGTGCGATCAGTGTGCAGCATCTGGAGGCCAAGTACGGCGACCGGGTGGTCCTTGAGGACATCAATCTGGAAATCCAACCGGGCGAGAAGGTCGCCATTTGCGGGCGGTCGGGCAGCGGAAAATCAACACTCATCTCCCTGCTGCTGCGGCTGTACTCGCCCTCGCAGGGCCAGATCGAGATCGACGGCATCGAAACGGGGCGGCTCAACCTCAACGCGCTGCGCGAGTCACTGGTGGCGCTGCCGCAGGACCCAATGTTCCTGGCAGGCACGGTGCGCTACAACCTAGACCCGCTGGGCAAGGCGACCGACGATGAACTCCTGGCGGTGCTGGACAAGACCAACCTCAAGAAGATCATTGACGACAAGGGCGGGCTGGACGCGGACCTCGACACGGATTGGCTGAGTGCGGGCCAGCGGCAGTTGTTTTGTTTGGCCCGGGCACTGACGCGCAAAAGCCGGGTGCTGCTGCTGGACGAGGCCACGAGCAGTCTGGACCGGGAGACGGAGGCATTTGTGGACAAGCTGGTCCAAGAAGACTTTGCGGGGTGGACGGCGATTGTGGTGGCGCACCGCCTGCGCACGGTGGCAGATTTCGACAAGGTACTGGTGCTGCAAGAGGGACGGGCGATGGAGTACGACTCGCCCAAGGCTCTACTGGCACGCGACAGCCTGTTCAAGACCCTGTGGGATCTGCAGGAGGCATGATTGTGGAGAGACGATGTGTGCAGCATGCATTGGCATAGCATGTTTTTTTTTATTGTTTTTTTTTTGTAATACCTGTCGGCAGCGTCTGTTTTGTCTCCTTGGAAACAGCTACTGATTACTTGCACTTGAGACCCGGTTTCAGTTATATCTACACTTTCGATTCTGACAAAACATTGTTTATTTACTTTTCGTTTACCAGCACACGACTGGCCGCCATGGAACTCTCCCCCGTCTCTACTTCTTGGCGTCCGCCAGAATTTCTTCGGCGGCCTTGGCCGAGAGCATGATTGTCGGGAGCACAGGGAACGCGCCCGGCACACGCGGGAACGCCGAGGCGTCAACGACGCGCAGGCCCTGGACGCCGCGGACACGGAACTTGGAGTCGAGGACGGCAAGCGGATCGGTGTCGCTGCCAATGGCACAGGAGCTGCTTGCGTGGTGGGAGTAGGCCTGTGTCTTGAGGAGCGCGCGCTGGGCCTCGTCGGTGCAGTTGCCGGCTCCGGTGCCCGGGCAAGGGTGCTTCTCATTGAAGGGCAAGACGGGATCGCCGGCGGCCTGCCAAGCGGTGCGCAGGAGCTTGGCGGCGTCGGCGAGATGCTGGAGGTCTTCGGTGCCGTTATTGAGGAAGAAGTTGAGGTTGATATCGGGGGGAACCTGCGGGTCGGCGCTTGCGAGCTTGACAGTGCCAGCCTGGCTGTGGGGATTGATGAGGACCATGGCGCATTCGTACCTGGGGGGACAGTAAGTGACGTGCACAAAAGACGGCGACGACGACTTCGACGACGACGAAACCAACAGCAAACGAGGAAACGAGCGCCGCGAAGATCGACGACGAAAACTTACTCGTTCGGACCGTAATCGGTCGGGAAGCCGGGCCAGAAACCTTCAAAGGAAAAGGCGCCGCACCAGGTGAAGATGTTCCGGTTGGGGCCATCGGCGTTGGGGGTCTTGAACAGGAGAGTGATGAATCCTCCGCCGACTGGCTGCTGGCCGAGGGCAAGCAGGCTGCCTTCATAATTGTCGGCGAGGCGCTCGCCGACACCGGGCAAGTCCTTGACAATGGGGATGCTGAGTTTCGACAGCTCGGCGGCCGGGCCGACACCACTGAGCTTGAGAATCTGGGGACTGTTGAAGGCGCCTCCAGAGACGATGACCTCCCGGCGGGCCCAGACCTTGGAGACGGGGCCCTTTTTGGTGACGTTGGCGTTGGTGTGGCGGGGGTCGGCGAGATACAGCGACGCGCCGGACATAATCTCGACGCCGCGCGCGACAGGAAGGGCAGCACCAGCTCCCACACCAGTACCCTCGACACGGCTTGTCGCGTTGCCGGCGTGCGGCTGCTGAAAGAGAACACGCGTCGCCAGCGTGTTCAGCCGCACCATCAGCGGGTAGTTCTTGGGATCCTTGAGCGTGGCCTTGATGTAGTTGTTGGGGCTCGAGCGCTTGCCGCCCTTGTCCTGGTGCTGGGCCATGTTATAGAAGCTCGACAACGTGTCCTTGTGCGGGTAGTCGCCCAGGATGTCCTTGTCGACGAGGTTGGCCACGTCGCTGGCGTTTTGGCCCGTCAGCGCGGCCATCTGTTTCAGGACGCGCGTCGCCGGCAGCGCGATGTCGCGCGCCCAGCGGGTCGGCTGCACCGCCGTCGCCAGCCAACCGTCGAAACCGTGGCCCTCGGTGCCGGTCGGCAGGTACTGGTTCTTTTCGACTTTCACCAGGTACTTGCGCATCTTGGGCGCCTCCCAGCTCGTGTCGCCCGTCATGTTGACGACGATGTTCCAGTCATCGTCCGCGGGCAGCGAGCACACGCCGCCGTTGTGCATGGCGCAGCCGCCGAGTGTGCCGGCCCGCGGGTACTGGATGCCGAGCGGCGTGGCTCCGGCGGGCGGCTCCGTGCCGACATAGAAAGAGCCGTTGGTGGTGCGGTAGGTGTAGTGGGCAAACGCCATTTCGCGCACGGGGTCGTCCGAGTGCTTGACCCAGAAATCCCAGCGCGAGTCCGGGTCGTTGCCAGCCGTGTTGAAGTTAGCCAGCTCCGAGTAGACGGGGTTGTCGCCCTGGTCGTCGCCGGCCTCGATGAGCAGCGTCGAGTATCCGGCGCGCGCAAGATCGCACGCCAGCGGACCACCACCGGGACCACTGCCAATGACAATGTAGTCATACGTGACGTTGTCACTGGCAGCGCGGTCGACGGCGATGCTTCCGTCAAGCATACGGCCTGCCGACGCACCACCAACGATCAAGGCCGTGGCCGCCAGCGAGAAAAGGGCGCCACGCATGGTCGTGTGTGGATGGGTGGGAGGTTGTACGTTGTACGGTGGACGGCTAAGTGGTTCGTTCGCCTTTGTTGAAAATGAACGAATAAAAGACTGTACTATTTCTTGCGCTTCTCGACTCGATCAGCCCCTAACGAGAAAAGTCTACGACAAACATGCTGCGCCCACATGGGAGGGTCTCGCTCATATACTACGGGCTTCGTGACTGTGTTGACTTTGCTTGGTGGAACAAATGGTGATAGCGGCCCTTTGGTTTCTTTGTCTCGAACGATCTCTGCTTTGCCGATTCAGAGGCGAGTCCTCGACCAATATGCCGTCCGGACTTCTACCAAATAACCAGAGAAACGGCCAAGTGCGGAGAAATTAAACGTGGCGACGAAGGCTTCGGAAGAAACGATGACAATAGGAGAAACGAACATAGTTCGAGAACACATCCGAGGCAGCCAGTGTTGGGCGGCCGCATGCAGTCCATGGTCGCGACGATGCCAGCGACGACTGCCTCCTGCAGCCGGTGGCCCGTCGAGTGCCTAAATAGAGACACGTTGAAGGATTCGTCGTTATTTCTCCTTGGTACACGGAGACCCTGCATCTTTGCCCAATCTTGGCTCTACACGAGTCGCCGCAAAAGGTATGTATGTACGTATGTATGTATTTATCCAGGCCGAATGCAGCCGACGAACGGGTCACTGCCGGTGGGCAGGCGCAGACGTGAGGGGAAATGCGTGGGCAAATAAAATATGCAGCCTTTGAATAGAACTATCACAAGAACGCCGAATTTGGTCGAGAGACGCAGAGTACAATTCAAACGATAATGGGTAGGCCGGAGGAGTGACACAGTCCGTTGCATGCAGTATTGAGTACTCCGTAATGACACTGGCTTACAAGGACACAAAGACACACATGACCGCCGTCTTCCCACATCTTACAAACCACCAAAGGGATTGCCTATGCCAATAGTCGCGCCAATGGCCGACTGCACGCCCACGCAAATGTAGTTACCAGCCATATCCTCGATGTCGTCGCAATCGAACTAGACGGTCAGCGTTGCGCAGAGAAAATGTAAAAATCATGACAACAAGCAGTCGCAGAGGGAGGACGCGGGATGCGGGACTCACATTCGGGTTCCAGGCAACAATCTGGTTCTGTGTCGTGCCGTATGTGAGTGCAATGCGCCGGCAGTTGTCCGTGGCCCGCACCAGGTACCAGCGCTGGCAGTTGCGAGTGGTGCCGGGGAGCGTAGGGCTGGGCGTGCTGACACCGGGCGGCTTGCTCGTGGTCGGGACCGGCGGCAGCGTGGCGGTGATGGTGTGTGTGACGGTCACAGTCGGGCCGGCTGTCACTGTGCTGACCAGAATGGACGTGGTGGTGAAAAAGGCCGTCACAGTGGCCGTGGCCGCGCCGGGCTCGACCGCCGGGCAGACGCCGCACTGGCCGTACGCGGGGTTGCAGCCTTCACCGCAGTAGTCGGCCGTGTTGCCGCAGTAGCCGTTGGCCGAGCAGCACGCGCCATAGACGGACCCGAGACACGTGTACTGGCCGCCACAGATGCCGTCGCTACCGTCTGGGCTGGGGATTAGTCCAGAGGAGCCAGACGAGACAGACGAGCCAGACGGGGCGGCCGGCTGGATGGGTGTCGGCGTGGACGATGACGGGGTCGACGGAGACGAGACAGCCGGCGGCGGCAAGGGCGAGCCCAGGGCCGGGTCTGTGCTGACGCAGTACGCCTGTCCCGCGCTCAACGCGCAGCTGGTCACCGCCGGGTTGAACTGCAGGAACTGTGTCACGGTGATGCTGTTGGCCTGCGACACAGAGACGCACGAGTCGCCGGTCTTGGCCGTGATTTGACGCGTGCAGGCAGCCGCCGAGCTGGACAAGATGTTGTCGGCGAGAGCCGGGGCGACCGTCGAGACGATGGCCAGATACGCGGCCGACAGGCGCAGGCCGTACGAGGGAGCCATTTGATTGTTATCTGGTGGTGCGGTGTTTTCAGGTGGCCAGATGGGATGCGGGTGGAGGAGATGAAGGTAAAAATCAGAAAGAAGGAAAAGGCTGGCGAGAAAGGATTTCTTTTTTGAGAGCCCACAAATATTCTACGACCCCCGTCTTATACTCGCGTAAAAAAGAGTCACAATCGCTGTCCTCGCGAAGGAACACGACAATAAGGTTGGTTGTACGCGTCTTGGCTCTCGGGACAGAATGGGGCCTTGTGCCCTTGTGGTCTTGTCTTCTGTGTCTGTTTTTGCGTCCCATTTTCTGTGTTCCTAGTTCGCCTTTCCCGGGGGAAGCCAATATGCCCAAAGAGGGCCACTGCAAATCGGAAAGTGTACACGATTACGTTGGACCGGCCGCAGGGTGGCAGGGGATGCCAGCAGATATTAGGAGATGCTCGTCATCATTCAAGCTAGGCTATCAATTCCATTTATTCTGGCCATTTTTAGAAATTCCGGGGCCAGCGAGAGTAGCAGAAAGGACGGCCAGGATGCGGAGGACAGGTCTCGTTCTTTCAAATAAAGTTATTGCCCCAATCTTGGCAGCTCGGCTTTCCTTTAGTCACCTTCTCCCATTTTTAATAAGTTGTGTCTTTTTTTTTTTTTATTCTATGCGTTTCTCCGTCGTCTTGAACTGGTTTTTGCCAAGAGGCAAGTAAGAGCGAGGCCAACGAAAGGATGATGGAAATTAAGTAATAAAATGATCTAGAAACTAAACGACAGACTACAGATATAAAAAATAAGGAAGGCGAAGCCGAACAGATACCGGCCGGACGTAACGTACCTTGAACGCGTACGCATGTGTTGTGCCAAGAAGTGCGAGCACATGGCCCTGGCGAAATGGATGAAAGAATCAGAAAAAAATAGAGCGAAAACCGTGAGCATCTCACGGCGAGACGGCCCCAGGGTAATATCAAGACAGTCTACGAAGAATAATTGCCGGCCGTTTATTTTGGAAGACAGCTTTCTCCACGAGAGTGTGAAGACAGAATGTACGACACCGAAAATAAAAAATAAAATACGAGACTGAATGAACGGAATTAACCGATTATCCAAAGGGCTTTCAAAAGATCATCTATTTAAGCATCCAGAGGGGTCTAGAAACCCGGAATTAGCCAAGAGGGCGGGGTGGGATATATACGAGCGGCCGTGGCAGAGCATGAATGGGAAAAGAAGAATGTCACAAAAGGAGGAAGGAAAGAAATAGAAAAAGAAGATGAAAAGAATTTTCATGAGAATCTGACCATCAATCATGTGCTTGCTACCTAAACGTAATTTAGAACAGACATATGACGGAACGTAGAGATTCTGCACAGCTCTGCGTCGGTTGCACCGGGTCCATGGCGTACGTAGTTTCTTTCCCCGGCCACGTTTCCTCGTTTCCTCGTTTCCTCGTGGCCGTTCTCCGACTCGTTAACCCCAGAATCCACGAGACGTTCTCTTCAGGACCTGGTGCAGGCGGCTCGGACGAAAATTTGCACCTTGGAGTTCGAGGCCGGTCTTTTGATGAGAGAGTAACGTCGGCAGAAAGCTTAAAATTATGTACTGTTACCCTGTAAATTATGTCCAAGTACTCCAAGTCTCATACAATTTATTTACATTTTTTGTGAACATTTATGTGGCTTCCCAGTTGCTTTTTATTTATTTATTTACTTTCAAACAAAAAACCAAGTCAAAATAGTACGTCGACAAGACTCCATTAAAATTATAAAGAAATAAACTAACACAAAAGCGTAACGAGCATGCCAAGTGCGAAAGACAATTGGTTTTACCACAAAGCCATAACAAAAACAAATGTAACAAAACTGTTGTAATTCGACAACACACACACCAACCAAAAGAGAGCACAATGGCACCGTGTCGTTTCTTCCAGCTTTTCAACGGCGACGGACAATGTGACGCAACGTACAAAGTGAAAATTCCCACGCGACGGTGAATTACAAAAGACAATTGATCTCAGAAAATGAAAACAAAATGAGAGAGGACCTTATGTTTACACTCCTTATGCTGACTAATCTTGACACTTGACACCGCCACATAATCAGCCACATCACCACCACCTTGGTAGCTCCAGAGGCGCTAAGTGCTCCAGCTGGACCATCGGGAAGGTGCTGAACCGCGTCCCTGCCGCAATTGGCCGATTTTTTCTTGGCCCGAGCAGACGATCTCGCGATCTTGGACGAACGATCTACCACGACAACCGGAGCCTCCTAACGACGTAACGAAGCCCATCCTCCCCCCTCATTAACGCCCTACGAGACAGCTGCCCGAGCTACCGGCGATCCACAATGGCTTCTTCCAGGAGCAACGAGACCAAGGTGCGTCCCTTGACAGAGCTGTACCGACTCGACATTTGTAGCTAATGTTCTGGCCCCCTTCCCATAGCTCAGCAAAGATGCTGCCACCCTCCGCCTCGAGGCCCAGACCGATGCCGCCCTGCGCGCCAGGGAGGACGAGAGCGCCCAGAAGCATGCCCTCGCAATATTAGCCGAGCACATGCTGCAGCCGGCGACGCTACACACCTTTGAGATCCACGGCGCCCGCAACACGCGGAAGTCGTTTTTGGACCCCATCTTCCAGCCGCTCGTCGACGACTCGCGCAACGTGGGAACGACGCTCGGCGACGTGTTTGCCGATGTGCAGGAGGCCGTGGGCAAGCTCGAGCGGTTCGGCATCTTCAAGCCCGACCCGACGGTCCATTTTGCCGACGCCCGCCAGCGCGACCCGGCCGCCGCGGCCACCGACTACGACATTGCCGTGCGCGTCTCGGAGCTGCCACGGTTCCGACTCAACACGGGCACCGACCTCGGCAACACGGAGGGCTCGGCCTACGGCAACCTGCTGTGGCGCAACATCTTTGGCGGCGCCGAGTCGCTGTCGCTCAACGCCAGTGCCGGCACGCGCACGCGGTCTGCCTACAGTGCCGTGCTGTCGGCGCCGCTCGAGGGCAACCCAGACGTGCGGCTGTCGCTCGAGGGCCTGGCGTCGGCGACGCAGAAGCCCTGGGCCAGCCACGAGGAGGTGCTCAAGGGCGGCACCGTGCGGCTGGGCTGGCGTGTGCCCGCGACGGGCGACCTGCACAGCGTGGCGTACGGCTCGTCATGGCGCCAGCTGACGGGCCTCGGTGCCAATGCGTCGCCCACGGTGCGCCGCGACGCTGGCGACAGCCTCAAGAGCAGCCTGAGCCACACGTTCACGCGCGACCGCCGCAACAACCCGCTGCTGCCCCAGAGCGGCTACCTCGTGCGGACGGCCTCGGAGCTGGCGGGATGGGGCCCACTGGGCGGCGATGTCGCTTTCGCCAAGGCCGAGGCCGAGTTCTCGGGTGCCGTTCCCGTCGTTTTCCCCAACGTCAAGGCCGCCTCCTCCACGTCCCCTGCTTCTTCTTCCTCCTCCTCCACACTCGCCTCGGCCCTAGGGCCCTCCTCCCCAATAGCAACGACTGCATCTGGCACTGACTACGGCATCACCGTCGGCGCCGGTTTTCGCGCCGGTCTGCTGTATCCGCTGCCCTTTGGCTACAATCTCTTTGGCAGCGGTGCCGCTCCCAGCCGCATCAACGACCGGTTCCTGCTCGGTGGCCCCACCGACGTGCGCGGCTTCACCCAGGGCGGCCTGGGCCCGCACGACGGCAGCGATGCTGTGGGCGGCGACGTCTTTGCCGCCGGCGGCGTTAACGTGCTGGTGCCCATCACCAAGGCCGGCCGCGACTCGCCGCTGCGTCTGCAGCTGTTTGCCAACAGCGGCCGTCTGGTGGCCCTGCGGACGAAGAAGCAGCCCAAGCCGCAGGCTGCATCAGCATCGGACGACACCGAGGGCGCAGCACCACAACAACCAGCCGGCCAGACGTCCAGCCAGGTTGCCCAGAGCGTGTCGGCTGCCCTCCAGGACCTGACGACGGGCCTGCCAAGCACGGCCGTGGGAGTTGGTCTGGTGTACGCGCACCCCGTGGCGCGCTTCGAGCTCAACTTTAGCCTACCCCTGGTGATGCGCCGCGGCGAGGACAGCCGCAAGGGTCTGCAGGTGGGTGTGGGCATCAACTTCATGTAAAAGGGAGGGCGGTAGACGGGCCGTTTTTTGCCAATAGAGACTGGAACTGGGCGAGCAGAAGGACGCTTCGCATCTGTAAGCTGTATATAGAAAACACGCATTGTATTGTCCTACGTTGCTATTTTGTCAAACACCCGTAGCACGCTCCTTTGTATGACCGACATGGATCCGCGTGCATCCCCGCGACTACCACCCCGTCTCGCTCACATCGCGCACCATCCATACGCAGCCGTCGGCCTCGCCGCCAGGTTGCACACGGAACCCGCACTTTTCGTAGAATGGTACCACTTTGGTGTTCTCGCCGGACACGCCAATCTGCAGGCCCCGCGCCCCCTCCTTGGCAATCGACGCCAGGAACGTCTTGATCATCTCCCGGCCCCAGCCCTGCCCCTGGTGGCTCTCCAGCATGTCAATGTGCATCACCGCCCGGTACTTGGTGCCCGAGATCAGCTCCTTGCGCAGCGGCGTCTGGTTGCTCTCGAGCAGTAGCCAGCGCGGGTTGTAGGCTTGCTGCAGCATGTGCGTCTCGTTGACCACGCTCTTCTGTCCCGATGGGTCGCTTGGGTCGGGCACCAGGAACGGCTGCAGGTTGTCCAGGTCCGCGGGCGCAGGCCCGACCTCGCGGCGCGCCAGCTCGACCACCTCCGCGGGGACGCCCTCCACGGGGCCCGAGCCGCCGACCAGGTCCGTAAAGCGCCCGTACCGCGCCGCCATGTCGTGCACGTCGGTGCTGCCAACCACATAGCCGACGACATGGCCTGTGCCGTCGTCGAGCACAAAGCAGTTTTGCGGGTTGAGGAGCGTGAACTGGTGCGTCCAGAGGTACGGCGCAAGACGGATCGCAGTCTTTTCGTTGATAATCGACGGCGGGAGCGTGGCACGGCACTGGGACCCAGTTAGTCATGGTATACCGGAGGCTGCCGCGCAAGAGAGCGTCTTACGATAAAGGCCGTGTCGTTCCAGTCGGCAAATTTGTAAGGGCGGATGAAAGCCATGATTGCGGGGCACCTTGGATACAGTGCGTTTGCGGCGTCTCCTGTCTTGTGTCGTATGCGTTGGCTCGGTGGTATAATGGTGCGACCGTGGTGCAATGCACTTGTGTCGTTGCCGATTAAAAGATGTTGAAAGTGAAGAACGTGAAATTAAAGTGGTGCGGTGGTCGCAACGAACTGCAGCTGGGCAGGTGCGGCCTGCGAGATGATTAGCGCCGCGCCGCCACCAGACACACATCGGCTTGTATTATAGCTTATTTTATAAAGGAGCTCGATGTGATGCCGCATGCAGCTTAAAAACCCAAAACGTAAGCAAGGCAATTCCCATCCCAACAAATCGCCAAAGCTTTTGTCGAAACTACGGACAATTGTCAAGCCACCGAGACGCTGCCCAGACTACGACGAATGAGGGGGTGATACGCGACGATACAGAGAATATCAGAGAAAAGCCCGGAGATTTGCCGGCCCATTTCGGCAGTTCGGGCGCTCTCTTCCGTTTTTGCGGGATTCTACTCATATTTTAGGCACAATAAAGACAGGGCATCTCCGTCACACAGCTCACTCATGTGGGGGAGTCATTGGGTCGAGAGAAGGTTCGTACATTCCCCGTCTGGCAGAACCACGAAGAGCAGAATATGAAAAAATGAAAGTGACGATATATAAAAGGATCGAAACAAAACTAAGTACGTAATCAGTAGGAAACACCGTGAAATGCTAGAGGCCCTTTTTCAAAACGTACAGAAAAAACCGACAAAAGAGACATAAAGTACAGCTTGCTTTGTTCTTTCCGTATTTCTAAACTCCTCCAAAATAGTTGACGTATCCAGGGATCCATGTCCCGGCGAATACAGCATATCCTTTCATCGGTTTTTAGACGATAGGAAAATAACGACAAACTGCTTGAAGAATAAAAATGACAAAACGATACAACATACCAAATTCCAGAAGAACCATACAAAAATAAAGAAAAAAAAATAGGAAACTAGTCCCATGACGGAGAGTTGGCGACGAAGACAATAGGGCAATAGGTAGAGAGATGAGAGAAACAGAGGGTCAAGCAGAGAATGTGTATGGTTGCCCATAAGGGAAGAGAAAAGATGCGGAGCGAACATCTGGTGTATTTGTTCAGGTGGGAAAAAAAGTGGTATCACAAGCCCCGTCTACTCATAAAGTTTTTTTCATGACAAAACGAAAGAGAACCGGGGTATACAAAAAGATTAGAAGATGGTGAGGCGCAAAAGAATAAGCAAAACGAGTCTAGAGAAGGTTGAGAAAAGGGCAACGGGCGACATGGGAGGACAGGGGTTGAAGGAAGCCATGGGCCGGACAGCCTAGATCATCCCACCGGGCAGGTCCATGCGTTGGACTGGCATTCCGCCGCCCATCATCCGCGAATGCATGCCGCTAGCCTCTGACGCCTGCTTGCGCAGCCCATGCTGATCGTAGCGGGCGTCCTCGTTGTCGCTGACCGAACCGCCGAGCTGGTAGTTGGTCGTCTTGGCCGCTAGGTTCGTGCTGCTGGATGTTGCGCTGTGCGGCAGGGTAGGCATAGACAGTGCAGACATCGTGTCCATGTCATCACCAGGGCTGTCGCTCCGGCTACCGCCCACCAGTCCGCCCAGCATGCCACGGGGACCCCGACCGCCTGGCTGTTTGCGCAGAGGGTTGATCGGCGGCAGAGGAGGGACAAAGGCAGGCATGGGGGCGTTGCTAGGCGCACGTGCACGCGAGCCGCTGCGAGACCGAGACCCATTGCTGTTGCCATTGTTGCCGTTGTTCCCGTTGCCCTCCATTTCAGGGGCAGATGTGCTCTGCTGCAGGTTGACTGTCGGGACACGGCTGGTACTCATGAGAAACGTAGGTTCGGAGATCTCGTTCTTGCGGACCGACTTCTTCATTGCCTCGTTGAGCGAGCTGCTCGTTGTGCCGTATCCCGGGCCGGCGGACGGCGGTGGCGCGTGCTGATGAGGCATACCAGGGCGCTGCTGCATGCGAGGGCCGTTTGACGTGGGCGTCGACGGTCCCGAAGCATTCGCGCTGCCAGGAAAGTAAGGCGAGGTGGGCAATCCCGCACTCCCCAGAGGGGAGATGGGAGAAGGCTGACCGGAGGACGCATTGAAGCCCGAGGGTGACCGGCCGCCCATAGCAGTCTGGACGGAAAGGTTGTTCGACGAGGGACCGTTTCCGGTGCTGCCAGGATACGTCTGGGGCGGCATATGTGGGGATCGGCGGATGTCTGTACCGGGAAGGCCAGGCGAGCGCATGGGCACGCCCTGCCGAGCAGGAGGACCAAGGTTTTTGTTACTGTTGGGACTCGGCTGGTGGTACTGGTAGTCGTCGTAGCCGGGGCCAGTCTGGTTCGCCCGGATTCGGGGAGGCGCGTGGCGCGTGTAGCTGCCACCGTTGCTGGTCTCTGAACCACTGCGGTCACGCTCCGTCGGACCCGAGGTTCTCGAGGCAGACCGCGAGCGGTTGCCGCTGCTACTGCCGCGAGACTCCTGGCTAGGATCACGCTGCTGGTAGTACACTGGAGGCGGCTTACGCGCACTGCTCGTCGGCGCGCTCGTCGGCCCGGACGACACGGTCGGACGCCGCTCACGTCCCGGTGGCGACTGCTTGTCGGCCAAGGTTGATGCAGGCCCCGGCTCGGGACCACTAGCGTCATCACCCTGGTGCCGGGCCAGTGTCTCGAGCTCTTTACGCTTCTGAAGTTGGCGACGGGCGTTTCGGAAAGCCCGCAGACCAGGGTGCATGTTGTTGTCGTCATTGGCCGCAGCTGCAACTGTATCCGTCTCCTCATCAGCATCATTAGCGTCCGTGTCAGTGCTCGAACGCGGTACCGATGCGGCAGACGACGGAACATTGGATGGCGAAGTAATGGTAGGCGCTTGGTTGGCAGAGGCAGACGCGGAGGTAGGCATGCGGCCAAAGTATCCGCCTTCCTGGCTCGGGCGGGGCTTCACGTCGCGCTCCTCCTCGAGCGCCTCAAGAGAGAACGCCTCATTCACAGTGGCAGAAGCAGACGAGATCGGCGGTGTCGGAGCCGGCGACGAGTTGTCCTCAAAGGACTGCTTCGACGAGCTAGGAGCAGTGCTCATAGTCGAGGCGCCGAGGCCTAACATCCGCGTCGACTTGGTCTGCGAGACGTCACGCGAGCGTTCCAAGAGCGCTCCACGGCTGGACTTGGCGCGCAGGATGCCGAGCGGGTTGGACTTGATCGGAGGCGGTTGTGTGGGCAGCTCCGTGGGCGCCAACAGGGGCGAAGTGTTGCGGCTGCTGTCAGACTCGACATACGTCGTCAGGCGCTCCTGAACACGCTTGCGGGCGTTGGCCAACTGGCTAGCGAAATCGTCGTCCTCGTGATCGGCGTCCAGGTTATTGCTGGATCGGTTAGAGTCGGCGACGCTCGTGATGCGACTCCGAGACGAAACAGACCTCAGCGACGGTGCTCCGCTGGACGCGGTGTCGGCAAACACATTTTTCGGCGGTTCAGGAATTGGGGGACGCTGCGTCGGGGTCTTTGGCAAAGGCTGCTGAGGCAGTGCGGGCAACTCTGGTTCGGGCTCCGGATCCTTCTTGTCAGCGGCGCCATTGACACCGCTGACTGAGCTGTAGACAGAAGCCGTCCAGTTCTGGTCGTCCCAGGGCTGACCATTCTTCAGGTCAAGGGAGCCGCTCGTAATGCTGGTTTGGAGCATCTGAGACGGATCGTACTCGTTGTTCTGGGGCGCATAGCTGTACACTGACGACGCGTTACTAGTCGAGCGCAGGTGCTGAAGAACCATGCCACTCAGGCCGCCACCAGGGCCTAGAGTCGGAGAGTCGGCGGGAGGACCGCCGGCTTCCTCGCCTGTGGCCGCTTCCGTTAACGACTCGGGAATCTGGGGCATGTCAGGGGCACTGGCCGTAAAGTTCTCGGTGGACCGAGTAGGGGACAAGGGGGGCGGCATGGCAGATTGGCGGAATGCAGGGTGGTCTGCGTCCGATGGCCGCTCGAGGACAACTTGCGGGCGTGATGCACTCGACTGTACATCCTTGACAACAGAATAAATCTCATCCTCGTCGTCTTCATCATCGAAAAGGAAGGTCGTCCGTGCTTTGGTGGGATCTTCGTTGCTTGTAACTGAGGGTGCCTTCGATGCAGGATGAGCGGATGGCACAGAGCTCGACGACGGCGCAGCATCCAGGCTAGGACGGGTCCGCTCCGTGGGTGTTTCGCGGCCTTGCTGCAGCTGAAGCTGACGCTCGGCGAAGCGAGACTCGTCGTATGGCAAAGCTGGCTTCTGGAACATGCCCAGGGCGGTGGCCTTGCCGACGTCGTTGGGTTGGATCTTCAGCACGGTGTGCTCGCCACCAGAGTCGCTCACAGGCGGACTCAGCGGGGGGCTACCAGGGAGGGTGTTCTTCGACTCCGGTACACCAACAAGCACATTCGGGCCAGCTGACTCGTTGACGGGAGGAACTACCGAGCCGACAGACGAACCCGACATGGGCGGGCTCAGTGACCGCAGGTTAGGCGCGCTGGCCTTGGACAGGACTTGCCGGCGCTCAAGGCGCTCAAGGGTCGACATGACAGTACCTGTCGCTGGTGCCACGCGGTCGGGGAAGACGAAGCTTGACGTCGGAGATGGCGTTGCGGACAGGTCGGGCGTCTTTGTCCGAAGCAGGCGCTTACCAGTAAGAGTGTCAATGCGGGATAGAGCCGAGGACTGCTGCTCGTGTAGGTCTTGGTTCAAGCCTTGTTCGTACAACCGCCGGATCCGAGATGTGGGCATGCGCTCCACACCCGTGCTAGAGGAAGATGTGTTGGTTGTGGACTGTACGGACGACTGTAGTTGTGGTGACTGCCACTCCTTGGCAGAGGACAGGCCTGGTTGTGACGTGACAGAAGTGGCTGCTGTGGAGTTGCGTGCGGCTGATGAAGTAGTGGATGATGTTTCTCGCCGCAGACTGTATTCTATTGGAGACGGAGACTCGGAGTGCTGGTAGGAAGAGGTGGATGGGTCGTAAACATCAGCGGAGAGGAGAGAGTTACCGATTTCCGTGGATGAGCCGGTGCTGTACGGTGCGTCGTCTTCATAGTCCAGGAACTTTTCCTTCTTCTCCTGGCGCAGTTTTTGAAACGCGGACAGGGCCACATCGCTCTCATAGAGTGCCCGTCCTCCCATGCTACCATCGGCAACATTTTTGGAAGACGCTCCGCCGGCCGGGATGCGGTAGATCTTCTGGCGGCCACCAAACAGGTTGTTGCCATCTGTTGGCCGTGTCCGATTCATGATGCTGTCGTTCTGTAGCGAGTCATTGTCGGAAGCAAACGAATTTGTGCGCATAAATGGTGGTGGTGCGCGGATCGACTCGACCTCTGCAATGTCGTCCAGGCCGTGGAAGCCACCACTAAAGTCCATGAGTCTTGATTGGCGCTTTGGAAACAAGACGCTGTCGTCGAGTGCCTTGCCAATTTTTGTGCTGGGATCGTCCTGCTCCCGGAGCATGGAGAATCGTGCAGACAAGCCAGTCATGAGCAAACTCGTCCGGAAGTCGTCGCTTGGGGGTAAAACGGCACTGATATCGATCTGCTTCTTCTCTTCCTCGGGCGCCTTCTTATTTCTCCGAAAACCCATGAAAGAGTGCGCCTCATCGGAGGAGGCACGACCTGCCGAAGCGGCCTGGTCCTCCTTGACCTTCTTCTTTGTCCGAAACCGGTTCATCGTGGTAGGTTGTTTTGGTGTAAGTGAGCGGAAACGCTGCAGAATCTGAGAAATTTCAGCTGGCTCCTAAAAAATGTGTGTAAGTCGTATATTCAATGTGAAGTGACACCATCCCATCCATAGACGGAAAACTCTGGCGATTCTGGGCCATCCGTTATAGATCGGACAAGAGAAAACAAAATACAGAAATACTGGTGGGAAGCGAAAAGGGAAGCAACAAGGTCGGTGGTAGTCAATAATGCAAAGAGATGCCCTAGATATTTGCTTCACCGTCACGATTGTGACAGGCTGGCGTAGGGTAGGACAAGATCCAAGTATGGTTAAAATGCACAGGGGGAGCGTCGTGCGCACGGCAAAGGAGCTTTTCTGGCCTGGCCTTGAGACCAAGTAGAACCGATTATACTTTTGAATGCCATTGTTTCAAAGGGAAGAGCGGTACAACCAACCTGGGTTGTCCTAGTGGACAGGAGGTGAGGGATTGCAGTGTGTCGGCATTGATGATGTGCACAGAAAAGGTGTATTCACCCGGGTAGGTAGTGGCTGCCAAACGCAACCCAGTTCGCTATGTTCAAGAAACTTCTCTTGTGATAGTCCGGGTAAGAATGCGAGGGAAATAGGCGTCCGCAAGATTAGGGAGAACAGTTGAAAAGTAGGGATGAAAAGGCGAGAGCGATTCTGAGAATCTGCTCTCTGGTCAAGCACATAAAGGGAGGCATTGCAGACAATTGGCACGGAGGATACTGAAAAGCAACCTGCTTTGTGACTTACTTGGAAGATCTCCTGCAAACTCTGCCTTTGTGCAGTGGGTGCAATGCAATCCAGAGTTTCGAATCACAGCATTAGAGAAGTTGCCAGGGTTGGCCTGTGGCGATCAGGCATTGGCCGCCGCGAGGTGCGATCTCGAGGCTTCCTGGTAATTGTTTCCGAACCTATTTTGGGACTCTTATTGTGCGCCGACTGCCTGTTCCGTTGGTCAAAGGATGGTATTGAGACGAGTGCAATCGGATGCAAGTCTGTCGCTCGTGTCGAGATGCAATGCAAGGCAACCGCGTCGAGTCGCACAAGAGCCGTCCTTCCAAAAAGCAAACGGCAACGAGTAAATTGGAGGATTCGTGCAGAACGTAAAAAGAGGCCCGTAGCAGAGTGCAATTCGAAGTTATGCTAATCGGGCGGGACAATCGCGGGTAGCTCGCCAAAAGAGGAATATCGTCCAAATTGCTGTTGTAGAACGGGTTGGTGGTCGACTGGGGCAGTTCACCTTTCCCATACGCGCAGCGTCGAGTATATTTGTTGCAAGAGGGAAATCCTGCCGGGGAATATGGGAATGTCGAGCGGGAAGGCGAATCCGTTGTGGGCGCAAGAGATGATAAGTCGTCGGGTGATTTAAGAGGGAGAGTTGGGGCGCGTCGAGCGTAGGCGAGGCAAGAAAACACAGTGAGGTGTGGGAAAGGGTGCAGAAATGGTCGAAGGAGAGGATAGACGGGAGATTGTCGACTCGTCTTAGTCGAAGATAGGTAAAACAATTCAACGGAAAAAGTAGAAGGTGAAAAAGGAAAGGAAACCGATGGCGATGCTTCGACGGTAAGAAAAGGGAAACAGAAAAGTAGACGAAAAACGACGAGGGAGAGAGCAAGAAAAGAGGGAAACCGACGGAGAGATCCTGGCAAGAAGCAGCGGACCAAGCGAGTCAAAGACCCAGTTGGAGTGGAACGGGACTAAGGCATCGTGGGTGAACATGGGTATTGACATTGGAAGGGGGTGTGTGGGCAGAGGGAAAATAGGAGTGGGCCGAAAGTTGGGCTGGATTGGAGAAGACCACAACGACTCAGTACCGCGACCAGGCGACTGACTCCCGTTGAACGAACTGCAGCAAGACCAAGCCAGGTAGGATGAATTTGTCGTCTCTTTCCCCCTCTCTTTGGAACGTCGGAAGAACTACAACGCGCTGGAGAGGTGGCCGGGTCCAGTCAGATTAGATTTCAAGACCTGATGATGACCGTTCCGCAGGTTGGCAAGCCACTGATGCTGTCACATCCCCTTCTCTGTTTAAGTGAAAGTAACGACAGCACTAGGAAAAAGGAGAGCTGACAAGATGAGAAGGAAGCGTGACGAGTGAAAGCAATATCCTCTTCATTGCCAGCCCCTGGCTTTGCCACGGACGGGTTGACCCTGTGGCGCTGATGGGGCGACGCATGTACTGAGCTGTGTACTTCGTATGTCGCTGCTTGTAGTAGTTTCTGCGCCAGTCTATCACCCCCGGCTTCTTTGTGGTGCTGTTCGTTCGTGTCTTGTGGACGCTGGAACTTATTGTCTTGTATGTGTCGCGATCCGCACACCGAAAAATGACCCCTGGCTAGCGAGATGCGAAATGCCTTCCAAAACGTTTTAATCGTTCCTGGCAGACACCACGGGAGTGGGTGCTAGCAGGGGTACTTTGGTCGTGACCCACAGCTGCCAGGGCTCTCGCGACGGTCATTGGCTTTCGCCTCAAGGTCATTCCAGGGGCAAGGGAGAAGAGAGGCACGAGAGGGACAATCCTATGATAAAAAGGAAGAAGGGGGTGGCAGAAAAGTGGTGTGCGCTCGGCCCTCAGGAACAGCTGAAATGCACTGTAAGGACAACCGAACAGTGGTTGCTGGCGAAAACGGCGGTAGCATTCACAGTGCTGGGAAGAGGGTGGTTGAGGACGAGGACGGAAATCGTGGGGAGATGGAAATCTGGCAGGCCGTGACCAATCAGTCGATTTGCCTATCGTTTTGGGGCGATGTTCTGATGGTTCGATTTGGCCTTCGCTCTTCCCCTTTTCTCAAATGTTTCTTTTTGCTTGTTTCGTGTTTCAATGGTCGCTGATTTCTCCCCTTTCTTCGACCCGTCTTGTGCTTGTATTCTTAGTTGATTGCCCGTTTAGAACCAGAGTCTGCGTCGACTGGGGCTGCGCGTTCGATGCAGGTCGCCTGTCGTCTTCAAATCAGTCCGACGAGCAAGATGGTGTAGTTAGGGCCATGCATCGTCCCGTCTCTCGTTCTATCTTTGCCCGGGGACTTTCATTTCGTCGCTTCCTCCAGATGGGGTAGCTTACCATCATTGCAAGTAGCATTTTCCGTTGAGAAAAATACCATGTCGTAAATTTTGACCAGTAGCGTGCGCTGCGTGCTGCCGTCGCCCTTGTTTGGTTCCCTGTGCCCCAGCTCTGCATGCTGCAAAGTACTTTCCCACATTCACACGACAACCTCCTGAGCTTCGATAGGTCTCGCATCGGACATTTGATATCTGGAACCCGCAGCCATGCGGTTCTGGTCATTTTGATCTATGGGCCCCTTTATGTCTTTCGTGTTTTTCGGCGTTGGTGAAGCTACTGGACATATGGGGTGAGCTCCACAGTGGCAACCCTTTCACCTTTCTTCTTTTTGAGGTTGGGCCGCATCTCGAGATGTCCTCTTCGACGGAGGTCAATATCAGCAATGTTAGGATTTCGTTTGTTTCTTCCTTTTGGTCTGACCGATGCAGCAACTAACGAGATATGAGAGAGGGGCGTGGACCTGCCATCTCTGTGCCACCATGCGTGATGTGGGCGTAAATGGGACGCATGGAAGGAGCGATCTCATGGCTCTTGTCGCGACAGCGCAAAAAGGTGCGCTCCTTCCCCCAGAGTTGCCCATTTCTCATTCCTTGCCAGACCTCCCATCCAAGTGCGGAAGCAGGCTCTCATGGTGGAAAGTGCTTGCAGGAGAAGCGGGCCAATACGAGTGCCCAGATGGGCTGCGCCGGCCAATTTCGCAAGCTACTAGCGCCTTGTGCAACATTTGGTTCTGGGCATTTTTCGTTGGCTTCACATACGATTCATACTCGGTCATAGTAATGCTCCGTAAAGTCTGGGGAATTCGTATCCCAGCTGGCAAGAAGACAGGCTTCGTCTCAATGCTAAGACAAGCCTAGACGGTTTGGTTGGGCATCACCTCCTCGCCGATAAAATAATCACGGCGACTGTGTAAATCTTTATTTTACGACGTATGATATTTTGGCCGCAAAGCAAGGATGGACAGCAAAAAGTGGCGAGCGCAAAGGAGCGAGTTACAACCGAAAGTGGGAAAATGGACAGGATACAGCAGCAGACGGGCTGAAGTCCAGCTACAGTTGTGAACTGACCAGCCAATCCTGTATTGTAGTCAAGTGGGAAGCATTGTGAGACACGCGTGGATCGACGGTACCCTTTTGAGGACCAAGACATTTGCTCCAATGACCAGATACAAAGCCGAGGAGAGAGTGAGACACAAGAAAGGGTGAAAAGGGACGACTTACAGAAAACGTGTAGCAAAACAAATATGTACGACATACAAGATTGCCACCCAACATGCAGATTCCTTGTGTGCAACGAGATATCGCTTCCTGGAGCACAAGATGGGCAACAGACCTTTCCATCAGCAAGAGAAGCAGATCATACGAAGTGTAGCGAGCAAATAGACTGGACGCAGGGAGTTGTGAAGATGACCAGAGCCAACCCTGCGTACTAATTATGGCCGACCTAGTGCATAAAATTTACCGCCTTTAGAATAGCGAAATGTCAACAAAAGGAACATGAAAACGTGTGTCCAACTTACATTAGCACTAAGAATGTCAAAGGCCCAAGATCGGCGCACAAAGTCCGAGATGTTCAGCCCAGGAACCCAACAAGGACGGGCAAATAGCCGGCATTGCTGTCATCTAATGTGATTTTTAGGATACTAACCCTGCAGCTTTCAGCTGCGGTGTACTTCTGATGTCATCTGGATGCTTGTACGAAGCAAGGGAGAGTGACCAAATCAGACAGCCAACTGGTCTTCGAAGTACAAGAATCTTGATCGTATACAACACAAAACATGAAAGAATAACCGCAACGGCCGACACAGAGTTGTCACCACTGCATCTCTGTGCTCTGCGCCGGATGCGAAATGGCCACTGACCCCGTCCCCTGCATCTTGCTTCCTATTTCTTGTATTGCCCCCCGGCCCTTGCTTGTAATTCCGACCATTGCCCTTTCAGTTTAGCAAATTTCTGCCTCTTCCCGAATACTAATAGATTCTTTGGTGCTTGCATCGCCAAGACTCTGCTTCTGCTGTACGACAACCTGCGTTCCCCCTTCCCACGAAATTTGGTTGGTCGCAAACCGAAAAGTTTGTAAAATGGTGTCTCAGTGCTCCCGTCTTATACCAGCCATTCTGCATCTGGGGGCCGCATGGCTTGATCAGATTACCGTAGCCACCACGGGGTAACCCGTGGTAAGTAAATACTTGTCGTCTATTCGGGCACAGTGTCCTCTAAAAGTTTCCGTTTTGTCACAGCTGCATTGCTGTCCTGTACTATGCGCACACAACGCCAGGTTTATTGCCAGTCTGTTACGGAGCACAAAATTATATATATATAAAGAAAAATAGAAAAGAAAAAACCTGTCGAGATTAACACGGCGTGGCCATTGGCCAGCTAATACACTATCGCCTACTTAGGACACAGGTCTGAGAGCCCTGTGTACGCCAGATGGGGGCGCACAAAGCACGGAATACTGTACGTCGTACGCCCCTTTAATTGCGTGTGTTCAGCCAACACACAAGGCGACCATGCTGCACTTGGCCTCTTCGTCTTTTACCACATGATTGCGCCTTTTATCCCCCCAAGTTTAATCCAAACAAGGGTCACTGTAGCACAACGTTTCGTACCAACGATATCGAGATGCATACGGATGTACGAAGTAATTACATGCCACTTCATCTTCTTCAAGGTTTTCTCATTTGTGCGCGAGACTATGGTGTAGTGTTGGTGAATGGGGGCATGGAATCGTTGGGCAGGTGCAGTAGCTGCATGTAGGTCTCTCGTTCGGCAATCAATTTCCATGCAAGTTTCTTCCACCATGGGATGTGTTGACACTGTATGCTGTGCAGGGAGAAGCAGGCTGTCATGCCCTCCGCACTCCGTGCGTCGTAGGATGGTCCATGCACGGTCTTTCGTGAACCTTTTCGATTTTGCTCGTGACTGGTTTCTAGTTCCTCTCACCGAAATTACTCCTTTTATGAGTTAGGGATCTGGCAGCAACAACAACAAAAAAAAAAAAAAGCAGTTGAGAAACACCCACTGCAACACCATTTTAGCGCATCGAATGGTCCTGACCATTCGGGTCGGTTAGCCTTCCGCGAACCAATGGGACGCACAAAGAAGCGATTTAGTGTCCTACTCCCCTGTTAGCTATTCATGAACCAGTCCCAAAGAAGTCAAGCTTCAGGAACGGGGCGGCAGAGAAAGGGGGTGGAAAGAGAGGAAACAGACTTCATAACTAAAATAATAGGGGGTGGACGCCAGTGACAGTCAACTCGGATGTGGCTCTTGCACTCGCCTTGTCTAGATGTGTGTGGGGGTTTGTTTAGACAATGTCCTTCGGAGCTGAAGTCAGGCGGCTGACAATAGCATCTATTGATTCAGTTGAGAGCCCTCGAGAGCCTCCTTGGGAGACCTTAGTTTCGACTTAGGAGTGGAACAAAACCGTTTGCATGCTGGATGGCACAAACGCAGGGAAAAGGGGCCATGCACAGCATCAAACAGGACAGCGCAAAAGGAAATTCCGAGAACGGGTTAAAATCAAGTAAATAAACGGCTCGAAGGGGAAGCGCAATAAGTGTAAAATTCAGATGTACGGAGTCCGTGGATGCTGTACTCATTGTTCGTATGAAAGTAACCCGCGATTGCTCATTTCGAACAAGAGGGGAAATGTGTCTCAAACAAAAGCTTTCGTAGATCAATATATTCATGCTCGTATCGATGTCCTCATGCGCTCGTTGGGATCTCGATGAAATGTCTCACGCGCTTCGCCAGTTGGAGAAATTTCTCTGAGCAACAGTCACAACTCATATCCCGAAAATCCCTTTTTTTCTATCAGGATTTATCGTCCTTCCAGTTTGTAGGAAGGAGGCCTTTGCAACTCACCGTCAACCAAAACCCCGGAACTCAGTGGAGCATCATAGGCGGGTGCATTTGGGCTGCCTTTGGTTTTCGGCGTGGATTTCGGGGCCGCCACTTCGCAGAGCGGGAAAGCATGCCCGAAAGAGCCTTTCAATCAAGCAGCCGTTGTGTCGACAGAGGGCCTCTTGCACTGCGCATCTTATGTCATGCTCCATATACGATGTGCTTCGTAAAAACAAAACGAAAAAAAAAAAAGTATGATAATTGACGAAATCCCAGCAAGCTGCCGGCGCCATCCGCATAGTCAGCGGGGCAGAAATGACCATCCTGACAGGGTATTGTTTTGGGGAGTGAGCAGCATTTCTGAAAGAACCGGGGTGCGAGGATAATAAACAACGGGCTTATCTTGGCCGGTAATTAAAGTTGCGCGTGGCCTGGCCTAGCCTCGCCCCGAGGGACACAGGCCGTCTCTCTGACCTAGGGCCAGGACAGGTCTTCCTAGCAGACAATGTTTTGTTTTCATCTGGTCTTTTTACCAGTCGCTGCTGCTGATAGTCCAAACGAAAACCGTTCAAGCCCAAAACTCGCAGTCTTTGCATTTCTCCAAGCCCAGACCTGTTCCTGGTTAATAAGCGTGACGTTCACCGCAACGGTCTGTGGCATTGGAAATCTACGACGTAGGTAGCCATTCGAACGAGGGGAAGAAAGAATTTTGAATCTCGCAGACAGAACAGTGAGAACGAGAAATTCCACAAGCTTCGCTCGATGAGAACTTTGTACAAGTCCCGGTGCGTGGGCCCAATTTCGTTGGTGCTGACCCGAAAATGTAACTGTGGCCCGCCTTAGGTTACATTCTGTGCCTGGATTGCTTTGGTCTTGTACAGTTGTAAAGGGGGGGGAGTGTTCAAAAACAACACAAGTTGTGTGTCCCGACTGAAGGGCATCAGGAATCGTATTTCATGGGCCGCTTGCATCGTGCCGTGCGGTTTGTTGTTCTAACGGCCAAACCAGCCATACACAGTATTGCATCGTCGACTTCTGCCGATCTCTGGTGGCCGGAGCGCATTCTGACATTTAAAATTTTGGGTTACGAGTTTACTTACGAACACAGGCGCGTATCTGACTTGAGGAATAATTCATACGTACCTTTAGGTTGCTCGCTAAGCAACAACTGATACACATAGAGTCCTGTCGCTTGTCGTATTCTCTCTCTAGTCTGCGCCGTTCTGCCGAAGAAGTGGCTAAATTGTGGAGGGTGGTGAATGGCATTCATTTTTTTCTTGTAGATGTTCCTTTTGGTGCTCTCATCGTTTGCTTCCCCATGTGGCTTCGTATATGTACTACGTGCTGTCTGACCTTCTTTCCCTCCAAGTTTCTTCCCTCTTTCCCCAGCAAGCACGTCAATAATGGAAAGAGCAAACCTGGTTCGCGGGACTTCGCGAAAACGGCAAGAACGTAAACAAATAAATCAAAACGCGAAAAGCGCGTTTGAGCGCGTTTTGGTGCTAATTTCCAGTTGGCGTCCGGTCCGTCGTGGACTGATGCGGGGTATGGGCACCAAAAACGGCAAATAAGGCAACTCTCTGCAAATCACACCCGCCTTGTGGTCAATCTTCGGTATGTGATGAGATGTGCGTTTCACCCATTTCCCTGGTTTCCAGGCTCCAGGCAATACAAAATAGTTCCGTGTGCCTCCCCTGCTTTGACATCTTGCCAGTTGGAGAATGGGCGTGTGTGGCAATGAAAAGCAGAAGAGGAAGGATCGACTGGCCATCGTGTCACGCAGTCGTTCTGGACTGTTCATCGCGATCGCCCGTTATGTTGGGGCAGTCACCCGCGCCTGCCGTCCAGATTACTTTTGACAGAGTCGCCCAGGCGAGGCAAGTGCAGAACGGAGACCGCAGCTGCGCGGTCAGGTGCAACAGCTATGCAGCAAAACGTCACGGCAATTCCTGGTATTGTAATTGTGCAGGTATCCGCCACTCACTTACGCCAGAGGACGCTAGCCGATA